GTTTATCATGGTTTGTCAATGGTGTCCCCGGCCCATCTCCCGCTTTTGGCCAACGAAGAATTCGCTGCTCCCGGGAGCTGCACCTCTACCTGCACCTCCGCTTGCCACGGCGAGTGGGTGTGTACTAAAATAGGGAGACCTCCCAGTTCAACCCCCTGGAAGGTTTCAGAAATAGATCCATCTACCGACCCAGCCTCGTGACCGGGTGACCAGGGCCATCTCCCTACGTCAAATGCCTAAGGATCTCTCGCATCCTCATCTCGCGATCGCCAGGTCCTCATGCTCGTCGGCTTCGGTCCGGCCAAGGCGCGGGACCTCGCTGTCGGACGGGACGACGGGGCGACGGCGCCGCGACGGCGAGGTGAAAGGCCGAGCCTGGGCGCTCTACGTTTGGTGGCTCAGCGCTGGATGTCCAAGGCCTGGAGATGGGCTCCAACGGAGATGTGGCTGGGCTCCAAGGGTAGAAACCCAAGTTCTTGGTGTGTCAGGACAGACAGACATTCAATTCAAGGTGTCAGCGCTGGAAGTTGCCAACCCTTCCATATTTCCTCGCCAATGTTAGTTTGTTAGTTACACCCAACATCTTGCTTCGTGTGATCGACCAATGCAGGGATTTCACCCAATGGCAGTTCAACATAGTTCAACACATCAGGATACATCAGGCAAGTTAGCATGTGATGGAAGTTGCATGGCCCCATTTCTCACCACATCGGCCCAGGGGCCTTTGTTTGGACTCATGGGAACTGCCCGAACCGCCGAACCTCAGGTGGTTGCTGCGATCCCCTCCATCTTCCGGCCATGTCTGCTTCCGATCGGGATGATGCACGATGCACGAAGCACGAAGCTGGGATGGGAACTGCCCTGCTGAAAACCCCGCGACGAGGGGAAAAAACCCGAGACTAAGAACCACCGCCCCACGCAGCTTTAATCCACGGATCCCCCACATCTGCCTTCACCATGTTCAATTCACCAGTTGGAAATCTCATCAAAATCTCTGATTAAAAACACCAGTTCCATGCGTCTTGTCACCACACCCAGCTCAACCACCAAGGGCATTTCCGCAGCGATGCGGCCCCCGCCCCACCGACAGGCCTTCCAAAGAGCCGCCTGAAGGTGGGCGCCGGCCACGTCCTGGGTCGGTCCTGGGCGGGCCTGCGTCATCCTGGACATGGGTATCCTGCTTGATTGGACCTCCAGCCACACCCATGTCCAGGATGATCCTGGAAGGTTTTGGGCTGTCAAGAGGATTCCGTTCGGTTTGAACAAAAAGAACTGGTCCGACCGTCGAACTGAACGGTCCGATTGGTGGGGTGAAGCGGCACGGCCACTTCAGCCCGTGTAGAGAACGACGCATCGGTCGGTGGAGGGCGTCTGCGGTGAGGCGAACTGTCTCGGTTCAGAACTGTTCTCCAATTCTCCAAGGAATTATTGAGGGTTTTATCGGCTAGTTTTCTCGCGGACCATCCGGACCTGACCAGTCAGGGCTGGATGAAAACGAGACGAGTTCTGGGGCCTAGCGGCCTAGCTGCTTGGGATGTGTCTTCTTTGAGCTGCTTGGAGAAGGGTTGGTTCTGTGTTCTGGGCACAGGTCCGGCCTGGAAGAACAGTTCCTGACCCTGGTATTTTGCTCCTGTTCTGAGAGGTTCATGACCCTGCCCTGCAAGAACCAAGAAGAACCACGACCACCCCAGGGTCCCTAACGTGAACTGACAAGAACAGGCTGCTCTGATGAGGTTCCAGCGGTTGAGAGGTGACCCCACTCACAAGGTGAGGTGAACAAGAGCGACACCCCGCCAACATAGAAACCAGTCTGCTGATAGCAAGAAAAGGAGATGCGATGGCCTTCAACCTAAAGAAAGAGATGGATGGATGGAGATGGGTTTGATGGATGGAGATGGCCTTTAGAGTGAGTCGGACTCTCCCCCCTGTAAATCCCGCCGAAAGACCGAGCGAGCCGCCTGTGGCTCGAAGGCAGCGGGGCATTCCACGAGGGTGAAGAGTCACTGCACTTAGACGTAGAGGTTGAAAAACCGTCCTTCAAAGAGGAGTGTAATATTAAATCTGAGAGACCCCCAATCAATATTATTGTAGAGATCTATATGGTGTCTATATGGGTATATGGGTGTATGGGTGTCTATATGGTGTCCTTCTGAGGTGTCTATGGGTGTCTATATTTTTGTAGGGATGATATGGTAAACCACGCGTGGATGTTCCACGAGCGCGTGGTGAGTTCATGAGTTCATCGACACTACGAGCGTGTGGTGAAAAGAACAAACACCGAAGCGAAGGCGTCTGGCGAGCGTGTACGGGCCTGTAGATATGACATGATATGACTAGATCCCACTAGCTTCAAACCAAATCATGTCCATGATTCTGTTGATTCATACCGCACATCCTCCCAAAAAGACACATGAAGAAAGCAAGGCGCCTCCACCGAGTCACGTTCAAACACACGTGAACCGCTGAAAAACCCGAACCGTGGACGTGCTCCCACCATGCCGGCCCCTCGTGATGAAGTCCCAGGCAGGGCCGGTCTCGGGTCTCGGGCCTCGGGTCTCGTGCCACGCCGGTCTCGGATCCGAAGGATGCGGGAGACGGGAGAACCGCCTAACATCGCCTATCTTAAGCCGAAAGGTGTTGAAGAATGTGGAAGGAACGCGTTGGGAGGACATGGAGTTATACAAATAGGATGTTGTAGGCAACACCTCCATGTGCGAGTGGATTGGGCATGAATGTGTCGGGCCAACTCTTCTCGTCCACATCCTTTGAGAACAGTTCAAGGTTTTTCATCCCTCACCCGGAACTTCGGCTCATGAACTACCCTAACTGGTAGTAACAAGGGCGTCGCCACTAGTTAATAGTAACAAGGGCATTACTACTAGTCGCTAGAAGCTACTAGTAACAAGGGCATCGCTACTAGTCATGATCACTTCTAAGAGGGCCAAATGAGTCAAGTGGGACTTCTATAGAATGGGTCGGCCACTCCGCGGTCCTGCTCCGTCCGGACCCTGCGCCAGGACTCTGCTGGCCGGCCTTTGCGCGTGGAAGCTGAGTCCGCACCGCGCTGCAGTCGGTGCAGCTGTTGGTGAACTCTGTGATTTCAGCCCACCGGAGATCTGGAAGTTGGGTGCAGAGAAATGGGCGAAAGCAAGGGAGTCATGGTCCAGTGAGACAATTCACCGCACCAGTCAATCGTTCAATCGTCACCGTTCAATCGTTCGGCGTTTCAGCCTGGTCGGTGGATGAGCGGCACTGACTCACGGGACCGGGACGCTCGAGGACGCTCTCCACGGAGGGCACGAAAGAGAATGGAGTAGATGGCACAGGGTCACAAGGGGCATTTTTCAGAGGGTGTGTATGGAGGCAAGTTGGAAGGCTCCGCTCCATGCATCAGAAGGGGTGTGTAGGTCTAAGCCACCTCGGAGTCCATCTAGTTCTGAAACTGGAAGGCCCAGTTCAACTCCCGCGTTCTCAGGGAGTCCCGGCCGATGACCGTGCTGGACTTGCAGCGCGCATGTGCGCGACTGGGGGAGGTGGAGGATGAGAGGGAAGTTCGTGAGTACTTGGAGGTGTACACTCCCTGACATATCTGAAATCATCATGGAAGTGGATGGCATGGCTCCTTGGATGACATTTTCGTGCTTTTCCACTCCCATGATTGTTCCAGAGAGGTTTGTCGAATGGAGTGACCCCAAGTTGGACCCCCTGCTACAAATCAAGGAACCCGTTGGGCACTGGGTGGAGCCCAGTTAGGCGGGGCATTGTCTGGATGAAGGGGTATGGTTGAAGCCATGCTTCTGAACGTACGCTGTTTTACAGGAGTGAAAGATGAGGTCAGAATTGGAAAGCCGGTTGCTTCTGGGTATGCATGATCATGTTCTTTACCTTTGTGTAGGTGCTAGAGTCTTCATTTTCAGTCTTGCAACTATATGTTTCAATCTTCCAAACAGCCAGATGAGCTCAGAGCTCTGTTTGACACCCAGAACGGGCGCCGAAGCTCTTCAGGACGTGTCGCTTTGAGAAGTGCTGCGTCGCTTTGAAGCTGCGCCCCGCTGCCAGGTTCTTCCAGCTCCAGAAGTCCAGACGTTGATCGCATCCATGTGGAAGCAAGCCGGCGTGCCTTGGCCCAGTTCGTTTTGAAAGCTTTTGAGAGGCTTGGCTTGGCCCTCACTGAGGGCTCCTTTCTTTTCTTTTTTAGGGAAGGGTAGGGGACGGGTGCTATGTTCTTGCTGGAAAAAAAAGTACCAGTCGGAGGCATGTCGATCCCATCGACACTTCGATTTTCCAACACCTGTGAAAATTCGATGCGGTGCGCTTTGGCTCATTTTTTCCGTACCTTAGGGTACCTTGACTCCAAAGAAATATGGAAGTGGATCAACAGGTGGACGTAAGGCCTAGGTTCATTGAGAGTCTTGCCTTGATCAACTGAAACTGGACCACAAAACATGTGATCTTCCAACGGTCCAGGACGCCCACTTCCATGCCTCGGCAGCCGCCCCGGAGCCAATCAAGAACTGTTTCCGGGGAATTCTGTTCTTCATCTCTGAGTCGAAGTCACAGTGGCTGGCCCTGGAAGACTTTTTACTTCTATTTTTAAAACTGTTCTTCACTTTCAGGCCAATTCTCTGAGCCGCCTCCTGCATTTCCTGCACAGAATCTGGTGGAGACGCTGCCGAGCATCGGCAGATACTTCCGCCGAAGTCTTCCCACTTGGGACTCTGGCTCCAAACAGCAGCAGCACCATGTCACCACCCAACCGCCGTATGAAACATGCCGCAGTGACAAAAACATAACAATACCATCACCCTTCAATTGAAACCATCAACACGCCCACACGCCCACGAAGTTTGATCAACAATAGACACCGCGTTTTTGGGGTTCCAAGATTCGGGTATTTCAGACCAACGACTGCCATCTGCCGACCGAGCCGAATGATGCCAGGTGCCTCGGCCGAGTCAAGGATGGCTTCGTTGCAAGAGGCCACTGATTCCGTGAAATCCAAGAGGAGCAGCTCATGTTCAAGGGATGAAAAACACATTTCTCATTTCAGGGAAATAAACATCCATGCTATAGGTGTGGGGACCTGTGTTTGAAGCTCATCCAAGGGTGTCCATGGGGGGCTAATACTTCCCTGGGAGGGGACAAAGGAAGTCTTTTTGAATCGGATGCAGTATGCGAAATGATTTCCCCATCTTCAAAGCTTTCTTAGCACACGCCCTTGCCGCAATTCCCCCCAACGCAATCGGCCGGGTCCCGCAACATTAGCACCGACCGGGGCAGCATCAGCACCGTGTGGAAGCTGAGAATCTCTCGCCATGGCAGAGAGCAGTTGGGCGTCGTTGCTCCACTGGTCCAAGTGGATGGCTTTGGCCAACGGATCCTGGCACGCCTTGATGGCTCAGGACGGGAGGTCGAGAAAACATTTGGATTGCTGTTCGTCAGTGGTTCAAAAAGGTGTGTACTTTGGAAGCCTTGAGATTTGTTGAATTCGGTTGATTGTTGTTGCTTTTACAACTTGTTCACCGTGGGACATGATTGATGCTTAGGCCCCTGCAGAGGCCATGCTTTTGCTGTCTTGGATGCTCTCGAGCGACTCCACTTCACCAGCTTTGGCACCAAACGAAACTGACCGAAGGGACGCTGGTCCGACGGAACAAGGGACTGCGGTGATGTTCATGTCCAACCACCCCGTCTCTTGGCTTTGGAAACGGAAGGTCGACTGTTTTGGGAGAGAGTTCCGTTTGTCCATCCAAGTTAGACCTGACATGGGGAAAGGGCTTCACTATTTGCAGAAGTCTTGGAGATCCTGGATGGTACAGGATTTCTATGAATTCCTCCATTCACTTATTGTACAGTAATCCTTGATTCTATACACACTCGGCATGCCTTCGTCGTCCTTTTACCTGATCTCTGAGTTAGCGTTTTCGCTGGCCCCCCTCCCTGCCCGCGCTTCGCTTCGCTGTGCGCGGCTTCTACTGCCCTGCTACCCGCCTTCCACCAGACCCACCCGGTGCGAGCGCGGTTCGCCCGCCGTGCTCCGCGATGCGCGGCAGAGGTCTTCACGAAGGCCGTGGTGCCGCGCTTGCGTGAGGCTGCTGGGCGCTTCGTGGTGGTGAGCAGCGTCGCGGAGGTGGGGGAGTACTGCAAGGCGGGTGGTTGGGATGAGGTGGGTGGACTGGGATTGGGATGGACGGTGTTGAGTGGGATGGAGCAATGAGTTGGGCGTGGAGTGATTGACACAGTTATACTGTATATACATGTAACATATCTTAATGTATTTTATTTTGGGTAATCTGAAAGATGTTTGAAGGCAGGCCAGCAAGATCGAAAAAGGGATATCCATGGCATGAGGAGTGCTGATCTAGCGCGGGTAATGATTCCGAAATTCATGCTTAGAAGAATCCCAGGCAACAGGTCTTTGTGATCGTTGAAGTTCATGCAGTGTTTTGTTTTTCAATGTTGTTCCGTGTGGGCGGTCTTTCAGTATGTATGGTAAGTACTTGACCACCAGGGAGTCCAAAACTCATCCAAAAACTCGTTTCATGCTGCCTCTATCTGACTCACTCTGCCCCAAACCACTCCGCTCCATGGTGCAAAGACATGTGCCTCCCGGCCCAGTTGCCCCGGGGCGAGGAGCTGGGGTGCGACTACATCCACTTCCCCACCTGTGACCCGGGTGGAGAGATCCTGGAAGCGCCCGACGATGACCGACGATCGGGTCCACACGGGTTCCGCGCCCGACGAGAGAGGGACCGATTGCCTCTACTTCTCGGAGGCGGTTTCGAAAGTCAGCGGTTTTGTCGTCGATCTTTTGTCGTCGATCTTTGAAAGGTGAAAGAAGGCAGCGAAGGAACACATCGGCACCGAAGTGTCTCGGAAATTCCTGAGCTCGGATCACCTTCCAAGAGCATCTTCAAAACAATCGTTTTGGGGTCCCCAGGGATGGATGTCTGAAGTGGAGAAATCCGAGGGCTGGCAGTGAAGAAATCCAGGGTCGGGTGCTCTAATTGGGGGTGTTTCACCCCAAATGAGGGTTTGGCTTGTATGAAACGTAAGACAAGAAGGGAAGCCTGTTTGGAATGGTTTAAGCGCACGCCTTGGGCCATCTTAGGTGAGAATGCCATGCGCTTCGCGGCCATCTGCAAGGAACAACCGGCCTATGCTGCAGAAGTGGAGAAGACCTATGAAGTGCTGAAGGAGTGGAAGCCGGACGTGATGATCACCTGCCACCGGGCGGCAAGCTTTATTTTTGTGGAACAGATTTTTTGATGGGCGAACAGCAGATACACTTGGAGTTCTATTACATGGAAGTGGAGTTCACCACCTGTTGGGTCTTCGGAAGACTCATGGCCCATGGCGGGGCCATGCCATCCACGCTGGCCCATGATGATTTCACGGAGTGGTTTTATTCCGTGGCATCTTGTCCAGAGATGCCCAGAGACCCTTAAACCATGCAACAGACGTCCAACTCCCAAATCCCAACGGTGGTTCCATCCGATTACCTATTCCTTACGTAAATTCGACTCAGATCGGTTGATGGTTGAGAGCCCAGTTGGGTGGAGATTGCAGGGATGCATTCCAAGCGGGAGTTTGTGGTTTGTGTGGGATGTCTTCTGCGATATCGAGAGCGATCTGCGACTTTTTGGAAGGGTCAGATGGTTGGACATAAACTTCTAAAGACTCAACTCGTTTGAGTGTTAATATTTAATTTATCTGAGGTAACTCCCCAAAGACCCTATGGCTAAAAAATTGCAGAATCAACTATATAACCCGTTGGGTCAGGGCAGTCTCCCTTTTCTCAAAAACACATCAATTTTCTTGGAGTGCATTTTGGGCGACTCCGACTAGTCGAGCTGACATCGTGTCAGATTTTGCATCAGAGAAACGACAAAGATGCGTAGTATGCACCTAGACTCCATGAAATAAGATGCAAGTCCATGGCATGGCCGCTTGGACCATTTCCGAATACCAAACAGGTGGTGCCAGGGAATGTATTTGGAGACCATCTGGTCTACTCCAGGTCAGTTTTGAAATAAACGCATCCCCCACCAACCTACGACCTGCCACTTTTGCTGTGATCAAAAAATAGGTCTTGCGCATTCCTGCGCCATGAAGCGCTCAAAAGTACTACCAGGTAGTCCATGGGTGGCCGCTTGGTATAGGTTGGTTTCGTGTGCGGAAACCTCCTCCCACTTGGCCCCCGCTTTTGGCCCCCGCGCCGGTGTCTCTGACGCCCAAATGGACGCCCAAATGACGCTTTGGGCTCACGAAGAGAGGTGGCTTCTTTGTGCTGCCCCCGCGGGCCGTGAAGATCCCCAGCAAGGCGCGAGCGCGAGCGCGTGGCGCGAGCGCTCGTGCGGCGCCGGTGGGGTTGGATGGGCTTGGCCTCGATCCAAGTACCGAAGCAGGTGGTGACTTAACAGGTGGTGATTTTCCACGTCCACCACGATGATCTGAGGCGATTCGATTTTCGCTTTGCTCCACTGGGCGGGTGCAACGACGGTCCTCCTGCGCGTCGTTGCAACCGGGAACGCCATGACGGGAGATCCAACCGAATTCCGGTGATGCCGATGTCGGTTTGGTCCGGCCCGGTGCTTGCGGAAACCAAATCTCGAGCATGACTCTAGATTTCCAACCACAGTTGATTTAAGGGTCCTAACCAGGTTACGCATGATTGTTGAAATCTAAATTTCGGACTGGCACGAGGGAGTCGAAACACCCCATCTCACCATCCCATGCGCTCATCCAGGGAAAGCTTGTTTGTCAAGAGTCAAGATTGACAAGATTAACATGGCTCTCTCTGCATGGAAGTCCCAACTGAGGTGGCACTGAACCTCCACAACGCCAAGCTGCCTCTCTACCGCGGTGGCGTCGCGTACCAGGCCACCGGAGAGCGGTGATACCGAGGAGTTGGGCGAACGGTACTGTGATGAGTGACGCTGCTTGGAACTCAGACGAGTCGTCCGGCCGATGACGGTTGGGTATTTTCGTGCTAGTTCAGGCAGGTCATTAGGACTTCTATGCGCCTTTATATACAGAGACCGTTCTCGGTCCTTTTCAAAGGACATCCCATCCAAGCGCATGAGCGCGCATTTCGGAAGCAGGATGACGGTGGAGGATTCGAAGGACGGTGGACATTGGAAGGTCGCAAGGAACGGAAAAGGAACGGAAAAGGAGGACGCTTGAAGCTCACCCCCAATAGACAAAGGATGGAAAAGGAGGAAACGCATGGACTGAAGCTCGGGGCAGGCGCAGATCCTTCGTGGAGAGCCGACCTTTGAGTGTTGCGTTCATGTGATGACGGATGTGATCGATGATGCGAGGGATGTGCTGGTGCGCAGCAGGCCCTTGTGCTTGGAAGGCCGGAGAGACGCGCACCGTCTTGTTTCCTCGAGTCATCGTTGCGTTTGCTTCGAACTTCCCACTTCCGTGTCGCAAATCACCCCAAGGTGGGGAAGCAGGGAACCCTGCTTTCGCCGGTCAGGCAAGACGACCCTGGATGCCATCCAAGCCACGGCAGAGGTGGCGCCGCAGATGATCCTGGACGCACTTCACATGGTGCTGTCCGATGAAGTTCGAGAGCCTGAAGAAGTTCCCACAGGTGCCCTCGGCGGCATTCGCATTCTGCGCGTGTTCTCGGCGCAGGGGGATGGTGCTGTCGGAGGAGCCTGGGATGGTTTCGGTGCAGCACTGGTTTCGTTGCGGAAATCACCTCATCACGGTGAAGCACCCTGCGAAGCACCCTGCTGAAGGAGTGATTTGGACGGTCGCCGGACGGTTGTGCGACGGTCGTGTGGAACCTGATTTCACCGCACCCACTTTGATTTGAGGTAGAGGATAATCGTCTTCGAAACGTGCAGTGTTTTATGGACCACCCTTTAGAAATTGTCAGAGGATATTTATAGACACCTGTTGGGAGGTCCTGGTTCAGGTTCCATGTTAATCTGTCAATCTGCCCGGGTGTAGCAACTGAGGTGACTTACCGCACGCCTTTGGGGTCAAGAAGCAGACCTGGACCGATGCGGCTGGTGGGCTTACGGCTTACGGGCTGTTCCTTTTTTCGCGGTGTCAAACAAGGGGATGAAAAAGGGATGAGGGGGGCAGAGTTGAGACCTGGCTGTTAAGACCTTGCTGTTCTCACCAGACGTTCGCACGACTCGACTCGTTCAGTCTGCTTCGTTCCTCTTCTTTGCCAAGCTACGGTCCGACCGTCCTGCCAGGCGTACGCTGGAGCTCCAATTGCGGGGTGTTGTCCCGCGTGCGCATCGAGTGGTCGGAGGACACCGCGGTGGACATCGAGCGGGCCTCAAGGGCCTTTAACGTGCGGTACCACCTCTTCACAGACTATCAAGGCGAGGGCTGAGGTAGCACGACCCTACACACAGGGCTCCAACTTCAGGGTTTGGCAGGTAGAATGCTGGGTAGACGGGTATTTCCCGTTTTGGGGCCCAAATCAATTCCTGTATGTATATATATATATATATTGTACATAATACAGGTAGAAAGATGTAGAAAGACCACAAAGTCTTTGGGGTGGATTCCCAGAGTCTTCAGGGTGCTTTTCACATCCAACACACTTGGACGATGTCAGGTGCCCTTGTTCTCACTCCTCGCCTGTGGGTCATTCCAACTATGAAGGAGAGCAGTGGACATCGAAAAAACATCGATAGAACCCTATAACCCTACAGTCCAGTCTGAGACTAAGGAGAATCTGGTCCAATTTGCCCGTGTTCCACCAACCAACCAGGTCAAATGACATCTCTACCAGAGGCCTTCTCTTCCTTGTGCTAGACACACCCTTCCCCTAGCCTTCAAAGCCGACCTGGTTTTGCAGTGTAAAGTCCTTCTAAAACACATGCAACCTTTGGTTCTTTGGTAAGGGCCATTAAATCAATACGTGCTTCGAATCCTACACCCCCAATCCTACGCGTCCGCCGCAGCGGGAGGTCGACCCTTTCGTGTGGATCACTGCGACTCGGCGGCCATTTCCACCTTTCCTCCCTGCAGTGTCACTACACCACAAAAGCATTGGGATCCTTTCTTCACCGGCCGCCACCAAGCTCCCCCGGTTCGGGTTTCCCCCAGTACTTACTTACTCGGTTTCTGAAAAACATCCGGGACAAGCTCTTTGGAGCGGAACATCCGAGGCATGCTGCAGCCGGAGGCGACCACGAAGCCGCCGGGCCAGATCCTCTGGGCCTCCGGACGTGGCGAAGACCTCCTGGTCGGGGTGGCCACCTGCGACGGGCGAGTGGTGCTGCTGCGAGGTCAGCTGGTGGATGGCGCTGCGCCCGTTGGCGCTTTGGAAGTTGGGAGACTTTGGTTTTGATGTGGAAGGTTTTACTAAAGGATGGGTTTCGAAAGGAGCTTCAAAGAATGCTTCATACTATTCTTGGGTTGAAGGATCGGAGGGCTTCGTTGATCCGGATTTGAGGACATCCATGGTTTGGGTCACCCGCCCTGGTTGGTTTGCCTGTGGGGGAGGAGGGGCTGCATTCTCATGTTCATCCCCATCATGCGTTCCTATAGAGCATGCTGCGCATGCATAATTACTATATAAAGATTGTTCTTCTCCTTTATGGCTGACTCATCTCGCCTGAGGCGGAAAATCGGTTGGTTTTCACTGAAAGTTCAGGAGTCGTTTTGAGTCCGTGACCCTGGTGAGTGACTGGCTGAAGTACCCGAACACGGATCGCCTGCCGGGCGGACTGCGCTACTGTTGACCGGTCGTGTTTGGAGACCATGGGTCTTCTGTATACCCCATTGGGGTGTGATCTTAAGTGTAGGCTTTTGTACAGCGACATTGGAGTCCGAAGAGCAGCCTGGCTCTAGCTCTGGTGGCTTTCCCAGGCTGGACTCATGGACTCTTGAAATGGACCCAGCGAGATTTGGGTTGATCTCTTTGAGTTCCTTTTGTACAGTCAACCACCGTGATGGAGCTTGGGTCCAGTGATGGAGCTTGTCCTCCGCCGAATCCAAACAACCAAGGTCTCTTCTGCTTCGGCTCCGAGAAAGACGTATGCTTCCTGGAACGGTGTTGTCACTTGCAAGCCCAATCCATCAACGTGTATAGTATAGCCTTTTAGTATAGCAGTATAGCCTTTCCTGACACTGTCCTGGAGGATGACAGATGCATAGTCACTCCGAATGTCCCAACTCCATTGGCTATGCCAAATGACAGTGTCCTTGCCAGCCATGTGACTCAAACTTTGGCACATCTGGCACTCCATTGGCACTCTTGCTTAAATTGCTCAGCAAGAAAAGGGCGAGGCAGTGTTCTTTGGATAGACGGGGGTCTATAACTGGACAGCGTCCCTCAGACCCTGTGGACGGCAGCTTGGGTCGCAACACAGTGGATTTCCGATTACCGTTTGAAAGGCCGTGGTAGCAGCTTGGGTCGCCTGAAACTAATGAGTTCGACGTCCTGCGCCCCTCACCTCAGCTGCACAACGCGCATTTTCTTTAGCGCAGGAAATGCAGGGAGCATCTAGCTGCGCAGCAGCACCTCATCAGGTATGAGATCTGTGGCAACCTTCAGGTTTCGACGCCGCAAAGCAGTCGGAGATTTTGCCTGAATTGTCTTGGTCAAGCATGCGACCAAAAAAGAACGTATCGAACTTGATTACCCCCAGCCCACCGCACGTCCACATCGCACCAGAGAATTGAAGAAGCCTCCTGTAAGGGAACATGTCACATGTCTGATGAAAAGACATCAAGTGGCTAGTATTGGCCGTCTTTGCGGTGGCGTTGCCGGCGCTGAAGTAGATGGCCAAGAAGGATCGTGAGAGACTAGCTTCCTCAGATCAAGTTATGTGTGCGACCACACAACACATCGTGCGCTGCATCCAAGTCTTGACCGATGCAGCCCACCAATGTTCCAACCCCTGTGCGTAGAACCGCATGCGACGCCCTCCATGCGCATGGGACGGGCTCCATCGCCGTCCCATAAGCTGCATACATGTCAACATGCTCATGCTCTTGTTCAATACAATATAACTATATGTTCAGATGCCTGAGACTAAAGCTGAACGATTAAACAAATAACATCTTGCTGGATGTTTCCTTCTATTGTGTCTCTGTCCAATATACTATACCAATCAGCATCCAACACGTGCCGGGTAAAGGACGACGCCGGCATGAAACGGGAAGAGATCTTGTTAATGGGTAGAAAAAAGCAATGTCGTGTCATTGCTCACAGGCCCCTGAAGACGTTTTAGGTAACTGTATATGTTTTCGTCCAAGTCTATGCGTGAAGCCTCACTGGGCTTTCTTGTCCAAGTGATGGACTTTTCAATGAAACAGGACTCCAATTAGCCCCTGGCCCACGGACTTGGTGTTTTTCCGTCGCCGAAACCGTTCGATCATTCAAAGAGTTCGGGAAAGACCTGGTTTTGTAGTGTACAATTTTAACCCTAAAACGATGATTGTTCGGGATTCCAGCCGTGACATCAAACAGTGTTTGGAAGCGACCAGGGCGCAGAGTTTGGGCCAGTGACGCAACGAGAACGACGTGGGTCGGTTCTCGAGGCTTATCACAGGACTGTCCACTGGTCGCAAATGGGGCATGGGAGGTCCAGGGCCTGCATCACGTGGCACTGCATTGGAACCATGTCATCTCACATCTTCTACTTGTTCTTCATCTTGAACCTGGCACTCCAATACCAAGAGTCCATGGGTTCTGCATGGCACTGGTCATCTCCCATCTCAAGTCATGGACTCTTCCGACATCGACCGATGCCAGGCCCGCAGGGACCCCATCGAAGCGGCACAGGCGCCGTCGGCTTCACACTGAAATCACACGGGGTGGTCACCCGGCTGGTCTCCTGGGTGGTGAATTGGCACATTTACATCTGAGTCAGCTGGGTTGGTGGCCGAGCACTTGGGATCGAATGTAGCAATGTGGCTGCGACCCATTTCTTTTTGGTATAGACACAAAGACCTCAAACCCCAAATGCATTCCACTGCCATGTCGGAACCATCCTCTTTTCTTTGGATTGTCTTGGGCTCCAGGTCAGAAACACACAGCTTCGCCCGCCAGCCTTAGGAATTGGGGAGATGAGTACGGATGCGGGCACCACTCTCACTCCGACTCACTCGGCCCTCCAACACTTTCCAACACGACTCTTGGGGTTGCTGGGAAGTCGCTCCATGACCATCCGGGCCAAGACTCAGGTGTGGCGAAGCCGAACGAAATGACACATGTGTGGCACATGAGCTCAGCTCACACGTTGTGACTCAGAAATACCCCGACTGACAGGTCTTAGTACGCCTTAGTCCCGGAGGGGTTTTCGTTCACATCACCATTGGGTGGATAAGATGATATAAGATGGAACGTCGCAGCGGCCCCGATATTCCTGTTCCATTGTGGGTCTCTTGGTTATGAGCATTATGAGTTATCCAAGAGGTCAAAGCACAAGTTGAAGCACCCTGATGCAAGGTAATCATGAGGAACATGTATCCCTCCAAATCCCAATCCATATCGCAACAATCATATAGTTCAGGCTTGATTTCGACCACAAAAACTACAAACATAGCTTGCAGCTACATACTTGAACTACTCTTGAGCTCCCAAGCATCCCATGCAGTCCTTTTATGTCCTTTTGTTGAGAGCGCAAAGCCGCACACCGGTGGTGGGCGTGGGAGACAGGTGAGCGACCTGCGTCAAGATTTGGCCAGTATCCAGCTTCAGTCTGAGCCCAAACAGCGGGAGGAATTGGGGCCACGTGGCGCCAGGATGAAGCTCAGGGATGTATGTTTTGGGTTCTTCGGCAGCCCAGGAGGTGTGATGTTGGGAGCTCGCGAGAACCCGCTTGAGACGGCGCTAAAGCAATCCAGCTAAAGCCCAGCTTAGCCGAACGACAAGCCTGAAGAAACGCTCAGGCTGCAGCGGCTTTTGGCGGGGCAAGCAGAGATCCAGGCCAGGTTCGAAGGATGTTCTTGTGACGAGTCTTGTTCTCAATGATTTTCTTCTCTTTGGCGCTTTGGTTTGTTTCAGACCATGCACATTCTTGGGGCACACACACACACACAAGAGGGCTAGCATGGGAGGCAGATCGGCAGGATCTCTTACGTATTTTTTGTTGTCACCCAGATGCTCTGTGAAGACGGCGCTTTTCCCGGCTCCGCACAAATTCAGGGAGTGCTTCAACCCGGATTCGGGTCCGATCCTCCATAGCATCCATGAGCGTTTGGACATATTTTATATTGTTTTATTGTTGTGTGTCTATGTGTTTCACTTCGATGATGCCAGGACCGTTTGCCCTTTAGGTCAGTTCGTTTCTTACCATGTGGGTCAGCTCCCGTAGGCCAACGGGAGAGTGTATATATATATATGACCTGTAACAGTCTGTAAATAATTCTCATCAATGATCACTATTCTTGAACAAGGTCTTTACTAACGGTCATCATCCACTATTACTGGTAATAGGATAGACTGATAGACCCAGTATATAATGCAGACAGTTGATTGATAAACCCCCTGATTTGGATGCACGCACTCGCGGTCCTTCGCGCCCACAAACTACCCCCTGATTTGGATTGTAGAGCCTCTTCATATGGTAAAATTATGCTGGATTTTGTTAATCAGCGTCCAACAGGATCATGAGCTACACAGTAATTCCGTTCCAGGTTTGATCAAGTCAAGAGCAGCTCCAAAAAACGAAAACTCCGCAGGGAAAGAACCTTGCAGGGACTCCTCCAAGGGACTGGACTGCTGTCTCAATTGACCAGTGGGTGACTGGGTTTTGGAGGATCAATGAGGATCAACTATGAAACATATGTCCTATCAAAAAGCAGGTCAAATGGGTTCTAGGCTTGTACTTGAGGCTCGTCCGACATGACACCCAACCTCGAGAGACCTTGTTGTTGCGGTTGCGACACTCGCCCACCCATGCCATCGCCAGGAGGGTGAAGAAGTCGGAAACCTTCCATACCGAAGACTGAAGAAAACACCCGAGACATTCGCAAAAACCTAAGAAAACACCAAGTTAATTGATTGAACTGCCTTGGATGTTGCTGTTTGTTTGGTGAGAATCAACAATTGACAGCTTCACTCAAAGCCAAACGTTCGGCCATTGTGGCTGTTGCTGTTGCCTTCAAGCCAACCCCGGGGGGAACCTCGGCAGACCGACGGTGCCAGGCTTCAGTGCAGCCCTCAGTTCGTCGCAAAGGAAAGGATCTCTTCGCCCAGCGACCGGACGGTCCGTCAGTTTGGAGATCCAACCAGTTTTTGGTCTCCAACAAGACCCAACAAATCATAAAAATAATAAGAAATCAATGACCAAGAGTCTACTTATTATGATTCAAGAGTCTCTAGTCTATTATTCATTCCAAGAGTCTACTTTCAATGACCTTTTCCGTGCTTTCTTTGATTGGTGGACCTTCGCAGATGCTTCGTTTCACCGCGCCGAAAACGGCAGAGGTGCTGAGACTCAGCCCAGTGCCGCTGCGAGAGGCGGGGAGCTCACATGTGAGCTCAGCGGCAGTTTTTCATGGGAAGAACGGGATGGAAGAGGATGGGAAGGGATCGATCACACACATATATGATTATATGATATATGGAAGTGAAGAATCGCGAAGAGCTCGTGAAGAGCTAACTGATCAGCACTATCATCGTCATATCATATTCATCAGCAAAACTACCTATTTTGATACTATCTATGATTTCATTCATCAGCTAGTTCTGGGACCTGCATATGATGTCTTTCTGGGATGCGCTGATAGGCCGGGGCCGAGCCCTTGGGGCAAGCTTTCCATGCCAACCCCCAAGCCGTCAGAAACGCGCCCAGAAACTTGGGAAGTCATGTCAAATCTTCACTTCATGGATAACATACGTGATTGGGGATACTGGGGATACCTTGGGATATCTATCTTCATGGAGCATTCTTTCTCCACAGAAGGAAACACCGGGCGAAGCCACTTGAGGCGGAACCAGAAAGCGCGCGAGTCTGGCTTTCGGCTTTTTAAACTGGTCCTTGTTATGCAAGAGCTTGGACAATTGAACCTAATGGGCTTTGAAGCTTTCTCAGGAGTTGGTACTCAGTAAGGCTTGAGATCAAAGAAGTATGCCAGTATGTCAATACAAAGAGCTGCTGGGGTTATATATACCGTATGATACCCTGACCAACTGCTGTGGACAAGCCACTTCGCCCTGAAGCCGTTCATTGCCGTGGCACACCATCGTTTCGTGGAACGACTCGTCGCACGAGGACGAACGGCTCAAGGGATGTCGAGGAGGCAGGTAGAGAAACTCCACCCAGGAGAA